CATGAAAAACAAAGGAACTCGGTTGCAAGTTGAGGGTCCACTTGCAAGTGGCATCAAACAAAAAGGCCTAGTTGCAAGTCGAGGGTCCACTTGCAAGTGGTACGAAAACAGAAGACCCAGTTGCATGTCAAGGGTCCACCTGCAAGTGGCATGAAAAACAAAGGAACCCGGTTGCAAATCGAGGGGCCACTTGCAAGTGGCATGGCATCAAAAAAATAAGACTTGGTTGCAAGTTGAGGGTCCACTTGCAAGTGGCATGAAAAAGAAAGGAACCCAGTTGCAAGTCGAGGGTCCACTTGCAAGTGGCATCCAAAAAATAGAAGACGCGGTTGCAAGTCGAGGGTCCACTTGCAAGTGGCATGAAAAACAAAGAAACCCGGTTGCAAGTCGTGAGTCCACTTACAAGTGTCTTCAAAAAAAATAGAAGACACAATTGCAAGTCGAAGATCCACTTGCAAGTGGCATCCAGTAAAAATACCCAATTGCATGTCAAGGGTCCACTTGCAAGTGGTATGAAAACAGAAGACCCAGTTCCAAGTCGAGGGTCCACTTGCAAGTGGCATGAAACAAGGAACCCGTTTGCAAAATCGATGGTCCACTTGCAACTGGCATAAAAAATAAAAGACCCAGTTGCAATCGACTTGCAAGCAGCATCAAACAAGAAGACCCAGTTGCAAGTTGAGGGTCGACTTGCAAGTGGCATCAAACAAAAAAGACCCAGTTGCTAGTCGAGTGCCCACTTGCAAGTGGCACAAAAAACAAAAGACCCAGTTGCAAGTCGAGGCTCAACTTGCAAGCGGGCATAAAAAAGTTGTAGTTGCAAAGTCAAGGGTCCACATGCAAATGGCATCAAACAAAAAGACCTAGTTGAAAGTTGAGGGTCCACTTGCAAGTGGCATAAAAAAAGAAGACAAAGTTGCAAGTCGAGGGTCCATTTGCGGGTGGCATGAAAACAGAAGACCTAGTTGCAAGTCAAGGGTCCACTTGCAAGTGGTATGAAAGCAGAAGTCCTCGCTGTAGGTCGAGGGGCGACTTGCAAGTGGCATCAATGAAAAGACCCAGTTGCACGTCGAGGGTCCACTTGCAAGTGGAATGAAACAAGGAACATGTTACAAGTCGAGGGTCGACTTGCAACTGGCATCAAACAAGAAGACCCAGTTGCAAGTCGAGGGTCGACTTGCAAGTGGCATCAAACAAAAGACCCCAGTTGCAAGTCGAGGCTCAACTTGCAAGTGGCATCAAACAAAGAGATCCAGTTGCAAGTCGAGACTCGACTTGCATGTGGCACGAAGACAGAAGACCCAGATGCAAGTCGAGGGTCGACTTGCATGTGACATCAAACAAAAGGACCTAGTTGCAAGTCGAGGGTCCACTTGCAAGTGGCATGAAAAATAAAGGAACCCAGTTGCAAGTTGAGGGTCGACTTGCAAGTGGCATCAAACAAAAATACCCAGTTGCAAAGTCGAGGGTCGACTTGCAAGTGGCATCAAACAAAAAGACCCAGTTGCAAGTCGAGGGACAACTTGCAAGTGGCATCAAACAAAAAGTTAACTGCAAAGGTTTTGTCAGCATCACGAAAAACATGCCAAAGCTCTCACCATTGTCCACCTCGCAATGAGAAAAACAAACTGGGCACACCATCTTGAATCATAGCAAAAAAAAAGATCAACATAGAGCAAGACCTGATGGTGCTCATACCGATGCTTACACTAATGAAACTGTTGAAACCAGTAACTAGTAACTATGGAAAACTGTCAAAAGTACTTATGGCAAAACTGTCGAAAACTAGAAACTAGAAACTAGAAACTAGAGATTATTAACAAGCAAACAGGGTCCAAAAAATATAAGCAAAAAAGCTAGGAGTGTATTACACAACTAGTATTCAATTGTGCATACCATCTTTAACATCCAGAAAAAAAAGCCATCGCGAAGACAGGTAAAAGAAAATTAAAAAACAAACCAAAAAATGATTGTAACACTAGGGGCAAAAGGACGAAAAACATGGCAGAAACTTTACTATGAACGTTTCGTCAGCATTGCGAAGATACATGTCGAAGCTCTGACCATTGTCACTCTGACAATGCGAAAAGCAAACCGGGCATCCTGGTCAAGCAACAAAAGAAGAAAAAAAGTGGTGTCATAATACAATTGTCCCAATTAAACATAAAAAATAAAAGCATACTCCTGGGGGGATGCTAACATCCCTTACCATGAAAACACTAAAATTAAAAAGTGAAGTCGACCAACAACTATAAAAGAAATACAACATGCTTGTGTACAGATTACTACACTGATTTTATTAATAAAAAACTATAGTATCAGCAACAAATCTGCTAGAACTATATAAACAACTCCACTCATCCTATTTCAAAACAGTCAGAAAAAATGACCCAAAAATGAAAAGAATAGAACCATTTATAAATGAAGCATGAGCGGCGGAAAAATCAAGAACATACATCAAAACAACATGTAAATCTGCTGGTTGAACACTAAAAAAAGACTGGCAAAACTGTCGGCAAAACGAATTGCTTAATTTCAAAACTGAAGTTGATCCTCTCAGATAATCAAAATTGTAGACCCCTAGTATGGAAGAAATGTTACAGCAAGCAAGCAGCTCACACACAAAAGACAGATGCAAAAATACTGGCTAGTCTCATGGCATGAACTACAATCATGTTTTTGTACAAAAAAATCACGACACTGAAAAGCCTTCTAGAACTACATCAAACAACAACACTGAAAACTTCATGAACTACAGACAACACAGTACACTCAACCTACATCAACGCACACATATACTTGCCTACTTCAACACTACACTGAACCTAAGTGACCTCCCTTGCCTCTGCTATGACTTACTGTACTCAGCTTATCCTTTTTTTCCCTGGCTGACTCTGACTACCACCAGGACTACTAACACCTCTAATGTACTTGAGGCCATTAGTAGATACAATACAACTAGTAACTAGAAAAATAATAATCCGGACACGTTTATATTCTAGGCACAGAAAGTTCAGCACTTGCTTGTTTTTTTGAGGACAACACTTACTTGTTTTGGCTGTACCAGATCTAGAGACACTTGAATAGAAGGCAGTTTTGTATTCGAGGCACGCAAAATTGCACAAGACACATCACTCTGGTACATCAGAAAATGCACCATTAAAAATAGGGAAGATTCAAATCTAACAAACTGATACTTTTTGTGGACTAGAAGAACGCCCGTGCGTTGCAACGGGGCCACATTAACTTTAAGAGTTCAATATTACGACATTGGCGACCTTTTTTACCATCAAATCCTCACACACACACAGACACACACTCTCCCTCCGTCTTCCTCACTCTCTATCCCCCTCTCTCTCTCTCTAACACACACACATATCCATCTTATTGGGTACGGGACCATAATCCATCTATTTCACACATACACGCTAGTGCATAACAATATGGATTATGTGTATTATATTTGCCACCAGAACTGAGGGAATTAATTTCATGTAAATCGACCAGCCACTGCTCCAAGAATACGCGGACGAGGTGGCTCGGGTCGGCGTCGGCGCCGTCCAGCGCGGGCCACGGGCCCGCTTCCAAGTGCACGTGCAATGCATGTCTTCACAAATATTATAACCAGATGTGAGAAATCACATGCATAGAAAAGACATTCTGATAGCAATCCAAATACCATACTCAATTGAATACCTAACCTGGACAATACTCTTATTTCTATGCGCCAAAAAGAAATGGAATAGCAAAGCTAAGTATGCCTACATACGCTCAGATTATATATAAGAATCTTGCGTGAACAATTGCAACAAAGCACTAAGCAGCGATAAATTTAAATAAAAAATCCATTAACTATGCAGGCAACAGGCTTGTTACAACATAGAGAGATAGGAAAATGTCACCTCCAGTAATGTAGCGCAAAGGAGTGGAACGAAGCATGAATGAGCGGTTGTCTGTTTTTCTCCATGTACATGGATCAGCAGTAGAGGCCAAGTATATAAGTACTTGACCGAACTCCACACTCCACTCTTCGTGTACGGAGAGCCATGTCACCTTCTCGCCGCTGCAGCATGGGAGGACGGCTGGTTCACGTGACCCTCCAGTTGGGGGATCCATGGTGGCTGACCGTCGAGCTCGAGGCAGAGAAGTTGAGGGCAGTAGTGGCGAGATCCATGCCGGCCAACCGGGCGAAGAGGAGGTCGTCGGGGAGGGACACATCGGCAAGATCCGGTCACCACATGACCTGAAGAGCAACAGTGATCTCCACAAGCTGTAGGCCGACAGCGTGCTCCATCCCCTGCGATGGGGTGACCATGGCGGTGGCCACAGCTCCTCATGCTCGCCTCGATCTTGGCGACACACCCTGAGTGTAGGAGGCAGCAACGACCTCGACGAAATCATGGCCTCCATCCCGGAACGCAATCATGTCGCTCTAAATAAATGGATTCAATCATGTGACTCTAATTACTTCGGATTGTTATGTGCACACTAAGCGGGGTGCAGTTAGGAAAGAAAATGTTCTCTAATTAAAGTGATTGAGTGATTTAAGGTAAGGTTAATTAGTTTAGATTTGATTTTTAGTGATTGTTAGTAAAGTACGATGCGTCTTTAAAATCTTTTATTTGTTTCCTTAAAATATATTATTTGTTTCCTAAAGAAATTTGCAATAATGGAAGATATCGGTTGATTTGGATAAGTTAGTAAATTTAAATCCGTGATTGCGTGCACGTTTGGAAAGTGCTGATCTCCACAAGCTGTAGGCCGACGGCGTGCTCCATCCCCTGCGATGAGGTGACCATGGCGGTGGCCACAGCTCCTAATGCTCGCCTCGATCTCGGCGACACACCCTGAGTGTAGGAGGCAGCAACGACCTCGACGAAATCATGGCCTCCATCCCGGAACGCAATCATGTCGCTCTAAATAAATGGATTCAATCATGTGACTCTAATTACTTCGGATTGTTATGTGCACACTAAGCGAGGTGCAGTTAGGAAAGAAAATGTTTTCTAATTAAAGTGATTGAGTGATTTAAGGTAAGGTTAATTAATTTAGATTTGATTTTTAGTGATTATTAGTAAAGTATGATGTGTCTTTAAAATCTTTTATTTGTTTCCTTAAAATCTATTATTTGTTTCCTAAAGAAATTTGCAATAATAGAAGGTATCGGTTGATTTGGATAAGTTAGTAAATTTAGATCCGTGATTGCGTGCACGTTTGGAAAGTCCTGATTTGCAAGGAAAGAGCTGAGGGGTAAATAAACCGGTGAATAAGAAATCATCATCGAAAAAAATCTACGACGGTTAACCTACGGAAAAAAACCGGACGAAAGTGTGGGACGAAAAAAACCTGGAAGCGAGACTACCAACTGCTCCATTAGGAGTAGAGATTATATGAGAAATCACCAACATGTGCCTACTACCGCTGTCAGCCTACCTAGGCATGCATCCACAAAAAGAAACATTGCAAAACAACTTACCACTATCTTCACAACGATTTAGACTCGTATTACTACAAACACATCTAGTAAATATCTGAGAATTTCTCCTGCTATTACAACTCACATGAATACACATAGAGTGAGATGCTCTGGATTTTGTACACAACAAACAAACATCACGCAGGATGGATCGGGCACAACTTAGCTTCAGAGATACAAACTGAATCACACATAATGGATCTCCCCTGTCTGTTAAACACTCTCAC